TTGGTATTTAAAAAAATTCTTAAGACAAAGAAAGAAAATCACAAACCAAATCACACCACAAAAATAAATGCGGAATTTAAAAGTGCGGAAGCAAGAAAAAGAACACAGAAATTTATAGTGGTTCGGTCAACTCGACCTACGTCCACTCCTTGGAGGCACCCTCCAAGTATTGTACTACAAAACGTGACTCTCCTTTAGCCCCCACAGCTAGGCGGAGAAGCCCTTACAAGAAACTCCTTTTTGCCACCCCGGCAAGGCAGAGAACCCACCTCCTTTTGTTTCCTCCTGAAGCTGGCAGAGAACCACAACCAAAAGCAAACTCCTTACCTCTACCGACCCTTCCATAAACGAGAAACTCCAGACGAAAGACAAGCAGAGCGATCCTTGAGCAACCCTTGAGAATCCCCTCACAAGCTCCCCCTCACAAGCTCCCCCTCACAAGATCCTCTCTCTCTCCCTCTCTCTCTTTCTCTCCTCAAGGTCTTCTCAGGTCAAGGAAGCAGCCAAAGGTTTTTAAAAACGTTGAAGAAGAGCTCTTTAAATAGAAGAGCTCAAGAGGAGCTCATTAATTGCAAGTAGCCGACTTTATCGTCCAGGCCGATATGGTTGATAAAAATAAAATTACAGACTGACTCAACCCTAAACCTACGCAATCCTGAACTTGGCTTCTTCTTGATCGTCCGATCTTCGATTCCTGAAAAGTTAGAAGCAACAAGTAGTCCAAGAGAAATAGTGTTTGTCAATCATCAAAACATAAGACATGAAAATAGGTTTGCAACACTTTCCAGGTACTATATGCTCTCACGAGGCCTTGTGTGAAAGCGATCCTGCAAAAATATCAAACATTAAACTTGGAAACCCAAACAAATTTTGGTTCACCTTTTTGTAAATTATAAATAGATGCGTGTATGTTATATCTAGGTTTATGCATCTTAGGCTTCTACACCAAATAAATTTTTCTTTCTAATATACAAGTGTATGTTATATGTCCAATCAATCCATGATTATAACATTTGACTCCTGAAAATGGGTTTCTTAATCTTCTATAGTTTTTTATCTATTTATGAATTGCATAAATTTAGGATACAAAATAGGATTCATAAAATCTTGAAGTCTTGGTGGTATCCTATTATCCTCGAGAGCTTTTATCTTCAGTTTATAAAATGAATTCATATCTTCCAATATATGATTTGTATAATTTATCCGATAATTTTTGCTCTCAGATTCATCCTTAAAATCTTTAAATTCTTTTTCAAATTCTGTATATGATGATTTTAAGTTTTCATGGTTCTTATTCAAATCGTCAAACTCATCAAGTAATTTCATGTGGTTGTTATCAATTAAAGCATGATCTTTTTTAAGGATATCTTGTTCTTATTGTAGTTCTTGTAACTCTAAGTTCAGACTAGCGTGTATTTTCTTTAACTTTCTATATGCAACATATATGCATTCTGAGACTTCTAAAAGTTTATTGTAAGTCAAGTAACATACCTCTCTTTGATCTGATTGATCAAGATAATCAACAATCAAGCACAGATTGGTGACTTCCTCTTCCTTTTCAGTCTCCGATGAGTCTGAAGCTGAGTCCGCCCAGAAAGCTTTTTGGAATTTCTTCTTGCCCTTCTTCATCATTAGTTTCTCCTATACTTTCTTCTTACTAGGAGTTGCTTTGAGTTTTGGGCATTCTAACTTAATATGTCTAGGTTTCCTATACTCATAATAAATAACATCATTTGAAACCTTGATATTTCTATTAAATTTACCTCGATTTCATTGCTGACGTCTCTTTTGTTTTCTTTTTAGATAACTTCTAAACTGTCTAGTCATCAAAGCTATGTTGTCCTCATCATTAGGTACAGATTAATCACTCTCTGACTCCTCCAGTTTTAGTGTAATGTTCTTCTCCATTCATGGCTCTCCTACATCAATCTTTCTTTAACTCACTCCTTGCTCATAAGCAATCAGTGATCCAGGAAGATTATCAATAGAGTAAATATTTAAATCTTTACACTCTATAATTGTAGTTATTTTAGCATCATAAGTAGTAGGTAAATAACAAAGTATCTTATTAATCATTTCAGCATTCGTTAGTTCTATACCCATTGCATGTAAAGAGGTGATTATTTATATGAATCTTGTGTACATATCAGAAATAGATTTATTGGGTTTCATACGAAACAGTTCATAGTTATGCAACAAGATATTAAGTCTAGATTTTTTAACTTCATTAGTCCCCTCATAAGTTATGCAAAGTCTATCTCATATATATTTTTCACTTTTGCAAGTGAAAACTCACATGTAATCTTCAGATTTAAGAGCACAAAAGAAACTATTCAAGCATTTAGCGTTAAGCTATGCTAAATCACGTTCTTCTACTATCCAGTCCGCAAAGGGTGTTTCAACTCTAACTTCATCAACTAATCTAGTTGGTTTTGTATATCCTTCCTGAATTAAGATCCACATATGGTAATCTAGTGACTGTAAAAATATAGACATGCGTGTTTTCTAAAAATTAAAAGGAATATTGTCAAACAAGGGAGGTCTAGTTATAGAGTAACCTTCTGGTGTGTTTCGGTTTCCAAAGGTAGCCATGGTCATTAATCAAAAAGTAGTCTAAACTTATGATTTTGAAACTATACTCTGATAACACTTGTTTAAACTTGTTAAATATGAATTAGGTTGTTAGAGCTAAGCTTATGTCCCAATGGCTAACCAAGAGGGGGTGAATTGGTAATATAAGAATTCATCTTTTAAACCAATTAAATTTTTAATAAAAATTTTAAAAGATTTTTCAACCATAGATAACAAAAGCAGTAAAGTAAAAAGTAAAAGTAGCGAAAAATAAAAGACATAAGATTTATAGTGATTCGGTCAAACAATGACCTATATCCACTCCCTGAAGTCTCCCACTTCAGGTATTACACTATTACCATAAGTGTCTCTCCTTTTTCCCCAACTGTAAGGCGAAGAAGCCTTCACAGAAACTCTCTTCCACCACTACCCCATGCGGTACAGAACCATCGTCTTTTTACACCCTCTAAGTGTTGGCAGAGAATCGTCATCCTTTTACACCCTCCAAGTGTTGGCAGAGAACCGTCGGCTGTTCACACTATCCAAGTGTAGGAAGATAACCTTCATCCTTTCACACTTCTTCAATTGTAGGCAGAGAATCCTTCGTCTGTTCACACTCCTCGAGTGTCGGCAGAGAACTGGATCTCCTTGAAAGATCTTCACACGAGAATTCTGGAAGGATAAGAGAAAAGAGTGAAGTAATCATAATTTTACAAATGGAGATTCTTACCTTTAAGTACCCAAGTGAATTCTTCATGCTCCAGTAGTAAGAACTCTCCTCTAAATGCTCTCTCTCACTCTCTCCTTCAATCTCCCTTCAGTATGCACAAAGACCAATGAACAAAAAGATTTCTTGATAATTTTAAGTGGCCCTTTTATAAGAAAAACACAAAAAATGGTCGAAAAACTATAAAATTTTAATTATGTATGTTCATGATCATCCCGTACGAATAGTGTAAAAATTGTTACATACGACCTCAATGTGCATTAGTACGAACTGCCTTCATACCCGATCATGATCCCGTATGATCATGGTTTGTCCGGTAAGAACCGTTATTTCCAAGGTTCTTTGGGATGAAAAAAACAGGATGGATCACAAGTTCATAGAATATAGGACATCGTCTTGGGGTGATGGGGTCAATTCATCTAGACGATTAGTTCAAAGCAGTAGTCTAGAGAAAATTGTCCAGGGATAAACGGGATAATAATCTAGACGAACAGTTCAAAATGAAAAATCCAGAGGACATCATCCAGGGACGAATATGAAAAATTGCTTGGACGAATAGTTCAAAGAGACAGTCCAGAGAATATCGTCCAGGGATGAACATGAAAATCGTTTGGACAAATAGTTGAAAGTGAGAGTCCAGAGGACATCGTCCAGGGACAAACATGAAAATCGTCTGGACGACTAGTTCAAAGTGAGAGTCCAGAGGACATCGTCCAGGGACGAACATGAAAATCATCTGGATGACTAGTACAAAGTGAGAGTCCAGAGGACATCGTCCAAGGATGAACATGAAAATCGTCCGGACGAATATGACTTAGAAAGTTTTTTACTCACCCTCTGTTCGTTCCATTTGCTCTTGGAGGAGTATAATTGACCTGATCGTCCCGTACGAACATAGTTCGTCTTATACGATCAGTATTAAAAATTGTGAATTTTAAAGCTCTCCCCCAGTGTGTATGTGCTGAGTTACTTAATTAGAATCACACTATCTTAGATTCAAGCAAATGTAAAATATAGACTCCTAGTTACAAAATATTATAAGCAGATATTGATTTGATGTATTCAACAATCTGGAGTATGATTTCCCTGAAATGTTAGTACACATAAGAGCCAAAAACAATTCTTCCAAAATGTGTTAGGAGAAAATAATAATATTTGGAATCATCAAAACATATAAGTTGCAAGAATATAAAGCATGCAAAGCTAAGTAGCAACTCTCTCAACAAGAGAGAGAGAGAGAGAGAGAGAGAGAGAGAGAGAGAGAGACGATTCCAGGTTACGATTACTGATGAGAAAACAGCAATGCGAACTTGATCGGTATCTATATATATCCTAAGGACGTAAAATAATTTATTACACTTCTACCCCATACTTTATGGTAATAAAATAACGAAGAGCTTCTTCCTCTCTCTCCCTCTCTCTCTTTCTCTCTCTAAGCAAATCTTATATGCAAGTACCGAGTATTGCCCATAAAAAAAATTGAATTTTACAATCACACCTTAAAAATACAATACTTTAAAAATAATAGTCGGGTAGATCCCCCCTAATATTTGATTCAGCACATTTATAATTAATGTTATGCATTATTTTATACAATGTAATTATTTTATATAAATTGTATGATAACTATCCATGTTTAAAATAATTGTAAGAAAATCATCATAAATATCCTGATTTCTCGAACATAATGCCACGGAGTAAAATCCAATTTTGTACATTTCATGGAAACGTCCTTATTATATTTCAGACATTAAGAGATAATTTTCACTTTGTTTAAACAAACGGATAATAAAAACAGCTATAAAAGAGAAAAAAAATAACATGTTAAGGGGGAAAAAAAGAACAAGGTTAGGCGAATCAATAATGCTTTTGATTTGAACAATCCAAATTTGGCCCCACATCAACATTAAATAACTGAGCATATCTCTTATAATAACCAATACGATCATTAACCCTTGGGTCGTTAGGGATCCCGCACTCAAGCCCACCGTTAATAATGTTTGTCACAAGACCAAATCCTGCCGTCCGATTTGCAGCCAAGTCAGCCTTGCTTGGCTTGAACCGTCCCACCATCACATCATGGCATGATGGTTTATCACCCCTTGGTGTCATCCAGAACCACAAGGCCGTCTTGAATGCTAGGTCTGATCGGTTTGCCACCAACTCGGGCTCTCTCAACCCATCGAATCCAAGGGCCACCCCGGCTGGTCCATAGTTGTAGTTCCTATCATTCATGAGTTAATTGAGTAATTAATCATCTCTAAGATGAAAGAACCAATTACTTATATAAGAGTTAACAAGTGTTTACCACGAGAGTTGGATAGGACCCCTTCCTTTGTATGTTTTGTTCGGATAGCAAGGCCATTCTATGTTGGTTGAATCACAATAGTTCGATGAGGGGTTCACTTCCTCCTTGAAACATAGGCCCCATGCATATGGTCCGTCAGGAGCCGTTGCCCATCCTCCTGACAAAATTCATCAACTATTAGATTATGTAATGTTAATTACACCTCAGCCAATAATAATTTTTTGAAACGTCTATTTCAAATTTTCAAAAATGTTAAAAGATATCTAACAATAATTGTGAAAATTAATGGAACTTGCTTGATGAAGCTAGGTTTATGTAGCTATCATTAATGATTCAACCTTCTCTTTATTCTGCTCTTTTCAAACAAATATTTTTATGTTCTCTTTATCTTTGTAAAATAAACATTTAAATATTATTATAAAGCACATATGATACATTCTCCTAACTTACTCTTGGTCTCTTTATAAAAATATTGTAAATAAATGAATATGAGCCTTTCTTCTAGCTTGCTCTTCGTCTCTTTCAAAACAATAAAAAAATATATAAATTACCAATTACATGGATCGTAAATTTCATAAGAATTGCTAGTTCTAACTAATCTATCGATGTTCATTATTTGTATGTATGAAAAAAAAGTTAAATTCAGAATGAATTATTAAAATAAACATAGGTCCCATTTATAGAAATCCAATCGTTCAGGTATGTTTTAATGTGTATATTTGTATATACTTTTCTTAATTTGATGAGTATATAAATCATCTGTAAAACTCATTACAGGGATTAGCAGCTTGTAATCAAATTTGTCATAGAAATAAGTTCATAGGGTTGAAGGAAGAGAAGAACAAATTAAAAATCAGAATCTTTTTTCCTCTTTCTCCAACTCAATAATCTCTCTCATTGAACTGAGGGGGAGTGGGGGACACAGGCTTTTAGATCTCCGAACGTGTTCTACCCTCTCTGATGTTTTAGCTTTGTCTTTGCTCGTCTCTTCCTAAAAAGAAATTTTAAACAATATAAAATAAATATGAGACCTTATCTTAACTTGTTATCATTTTCTAGAATTATTTAAATTATTTTAACTGAAATTCTTTATCTTTAATCTTCGTCTCCTTTAAAAACAGTTAAATCATATTAAAATAAACGAGTGACCTTCGCCTAACTTGCTCTGCTAGTTTTCTATTAATAATAGACGTTAAAATTATATTAAAATAAATGAGGAAACTTCTTTTAACTTGCTATACGTCTATTTCTATATGAAATTAAAGTAAACAAACTGATGGATTGAATGTGAAATTCATAAGAAATACTTAGGGGCTCTTTGAGATAATATTTTTTAATTTTTAAATTAATTTCTTTTAGTTTTTTTCTTTACATTATAATAAAAATAAAAATATGCTTGATAACTAGTTCTTTTTTTTTACATTAAAATTAAAAATATATCTTGGCATCCAGACAAACCTCATCAACCATTATATTATTACCGAGGGCATGTACCTATTTGTAGACACTATCATCTCTTTTGAAGGAATTTTTATTAGGTCGGGTGTCCTGACGTAACTCTACGTTCGGACGCCATTAAAATGGTGTCACGTGCTCTTACTCTTTAACCGAACGACCCCGACCCGGACCGGACCCGTGATTGCTATGTATTGGCTAATTTGTGCAGACCGGTGTATTGCTAGGTATTGCCGATATTGCTCGGCAATAATGAGAAATATCATTTTGTCAAGACCAATACCTAGCAATACCGAGCAATACCCCCGGTTTTGCTAGGTATTGCTAGGTATTGATCTTGACAGAGCGGTATTTCTCGTTATTGTCAAGCAATACCTATCAATACCGAAAAATATCAAGCAATACCTAGCAATACCCGAACATAGCAATACCGGGTTCCGGTCCAGGTCGGGTCGTCGGGCTGCGCGGTAAAGAATAAGAGCACGTGACAATATGTTATTGGCCTCCGGATGTAGAGCTACGTCCGATGTCCGGACCTAATAATTGTTCCTTTTGAAGACATCCTTATAGTTATCATCACTTCTTTGTTGGCTTTGAGGCTAATTTCCTATAAGCCTGCGTTTCTTAAAGATGGAATGTGCTAATGTCAATTATATATGTCACATTCCCAAAACAAATTGACAACTTGCTTGTAACTTCTTAATCCTTTATTTGCTTATGCTCCACCATCTAGTGACATCACCATCATTTGATGGCGGAGTGGCATGATGAAGTTAAATTTGGTTCCAATTGGAGTAATGGCATGTATTTAAGGGTGAAATATTTCTAAAAATTGAGGACCAATGCCTACAACTTTAGATGATGGAGGGATAGAGAGAGCAGCCACCAGAATTAATTTTATTCATTTGTCATTATCCTAATCCTTTCCACAAAATATTACAACTACCGATTCCATTAATGTCTAATACGGCTTTATTGCTTAAGGCAATGATCGTGGTGGATGATTGCATAGGGATGATAGGAAAGCTCGTTGGAAAAGGTATGGGAGTTTGAATAAATAGATAAATAAACCGTTTTTAATATTCTATAAACTATCAAATTTGTTTTTATTGCTTTGCAAACCAACTAATTTGTTTTTAAAAATAAACAGTCTAAAATAATTTACTATTTTTTAAACTAATTTTTAAAATTAAAAATGAAAAAATAAAACAATAAACAATCCTTATAAGTTGTACTAACTAATCCATCGATCTCGGACCAGCTGCAGCCAGCTAATAGAACTTTTACTTGGTCCACACGGTTTAGTCAAAGACTGGCAAGTTGTGATAGCACATGACAAATGAACTAAATTTATTCACTTGAAGTAAGCATAAACTTCAATCATGGCTGTGAAATTCACATAATTAGACTGAATAAATCGAAGTAATTAAGTTACATAGAAATCAGAACATGCATCTAACTATACAAGGCCTGTACATTATGTGAATGATCTGAGATAATAGCAACTAGACATATAAAAATTAAAATAAGATTAAAGTTTTGTTTGGGACGGCTTTTTTATTGATTTCTAAAATGGAGTTTTAGTACAAATTTTTTTATTTTGTACTAAAACTCCGTTTTAAAAAGCAATAAAAAAGCCGTCCCAAACGAAGCCTAATACATAATGATGAGATTAAAAGCAGTACAGACCTGTAGTCTCATGAGATATCTGAGCAAGGAAAGCTGCGAGCTCACGCTTACGAGTGTCTAAGCATCCTGTACTGGCGAATTTGGGGAAACATTCTGTTGCCGTGATGAATGCATCATATGGGTAAAAGCCCTTCGCAGGACAGGCGTTATCATCCTTATGTAAGAAGATGCTTTTGTATAGATCCTCTGAGATGAGCATGGAGATCGGGTTAACATAGGCTTTATATCGAGCATCTGTACTGCGAAAGCAACACACAAGGCAGAAGATGGAGAGTAAAAAAAAGAAAGGAAGGGAATAAGAACTGACAGCCATGGCTGTCATATTATTAACAAAAATGTTAGCTTCCTTCCCTTCTGTTCAGCGTTCTTATAGATTTCAGAGAAAGGTAGGTTATTTGCTTTCTTTCTTTTTATTTCCGTCTATTGTAGACCAATTCAGAGAAGGAACGACCAAGTCAACTTTTTGGTCTTACACTTTTTAATTTGACCTGCACTAAGTTTGATGCTGAGAATTTGAACACATGGAAAAGGTGTTGATGCGTTGGCATAATGTTGATTATCGACAACAACTTATAGCCAATTACTAAAAATTAGAGATAAATTATAAAGGCAAAGTTTTATAAATAGATAATTATAATATATATATATATATATTTAAAAAAGTGAATAATATTTAAATGTCCGGGGGTATTCACAGTGGCAGAGAAATATATAGATTAACATCTTAGCATTGTACGAAGATCCAACACACAATAAGATAAGTGAGAGGGTGTAGCATTCATAAGAGACGCCATAGTTTTTACATGGAAACCCCTAAAAATAGGAAAAAACCACGTGGCCTGGCCTAGTTTAAATGAATACATTAGTATTTGCAGTTGATTACAAATGAGGCCCTTCTTAGGGAGAAGGCCTTGGCTTGATGTTACAAATGTATGTCATACAGAGCACATTATATGGTGGGAGTTACAAAAGTCAACATATATGCGTTTGTTTGGTCTGAAGGATTGTAGTCGGTGGGCGACGTAAGTCTAGAGAACTGCAGTCGGCAGACGACGGAGATCGGAAGGACTGTAGTCGGTGGGCGACGTAAGTCTGGAGGACCGTAGTCGGCTGGCAACGGAGGTCGGAAGGATTGTAGTCGATGGGCGTCGTTAGTCTGGAGGACTGTAGTCGGCGGGCGATGGAGTTCGGAAGGACTGTAGTCGGTGGGCAACGTAAGTCTGGATGACTGTAATCGAAGAGCGACAGAGGTCGGAAGGACTGTAGTCGGTGGGCGACGTAAGTCAGGAGGATCATAGTCGGTTGGCGATAGAGGTCGTAAGGTTCGTTGTCTAACGACAGAGATCAAAAGGACGACGTTAGGTAGAAGTCCAATAATGGAAAGAAATTCATCTTCGGATAGATGTCCAACGAAAGTCAAATAACCGGTAGAAGTCAAGCGTCGGGTAGAAACTTGGCGATGAGTGAAGGTCCGGCGTCGGGTAGAAGTCTGACGTCTGTTGGTGGCCGAGGAGAACTCCGACATCACTTGGGTGGAGTTTCGGCGTCACGGGGGAACTCTGTTGTTACTTGGGCAGAATTTCAGCATCCCGTGGAAGTAGGACAAAATTCCGGTGTCCCGTGGTAGTCGGGCAAAATTCTAGTGTCCCGTAAAAGTACGGTGGAATTCCGACGCATTTGGAGTCCGGGCAGAACTCCGGCGGTGGTCGAGGAGAAGTCTCTTCCCTCATATTCTTCTCTTCTCCTCCATCTTGCTTCTCCTTCCTTCTCTTGCTTGGGCCTCCCTCACAAGAGAAATACGGGGTCTATTTATAGATTTCCTAGAGTGGCATATCTTGTAAATAGGTGTGAGATCAGGGGCAAATAGGGAGTGGTCGAATGGATGGCTGATATCGAATCCCTTGATTATGCACCATTTATCAGGCATTTGAAGGCCTTAATGATGTCAGAATTTGGTGATCTTTGGCCCGTTGGATTCGTCTCGTCGATCCGCTTGATTCGAGTATAAGCTCTTCAAATTTTGAAACTGTTTGGTAACTTAAATTATGGTTCGAACTTTCTAACAGTGTTTCGGGTCCTTGATTTGGACTCATTTGAGCTCGGATTGAGTTGAATTTGGTATCGTTGGGTTCGTATTTTTGAGACGATCAACTCGATTGTAAGTTTGCTGATATCAGAGTTCAGATAATCCTAGATTTAATTTTTGAAGTTTCCAACTTGATTTTTGCACCGAGATTCGTGCCCGATCATGATAATTTTATGATTACGTATCAGTTGCCCCCCTATTTTGGGCGTCGAAGCTCCAGAAGTCCAAAAATATATATGTTGACATTTTGTATTGGCCGAATCATAAAAAATTGCAATCCAAAAATTAAATGCTTAGTCAAATCTGATCATAGAGGCACCGTTGAGCTATGAAAGTGTTAAAATTATGTTCGGAACATCGAAAAACGTGTTCAGGGACCCCAAAAACATCAGATTTGGACCGTCCGGGACGAAAATCAAGCCTGGACAAGTGTTGGCGGCCAAACCGGACGGCCGCTGCCCGCCACCAGCAGGTGGCGGCGGCACGCGCGCCGCGAGCGAAATAGCGCGACTTGTACGGTCCTGCGCAGTTAGCCGCGCGGTTAAGGGGCCGGCTGTTTGAATTTTGATTATTTTTAAGCATTTTTTAAATGGTAAAAAATCCCAAAAAAAATCCTAAATATCTAAAAAATTTAAGATCGTGCTTAAGACCTTGCTCAAGGAGTAGAAGTCCAATAAGGGACTTTATAAAGCTTGCAATTGATTGGAAGTATCCTTGCTTTTGCTTGAATTTTTTTGAAATATCATCATGATGTTAAAAGTATTGGAGGATCTATTTGACCATGGTTCGAGTCAAAGTTTCCACCCAGTTCGCATCTGATTCTTATGATATTGATGTTGTGAGTAATCTTTTGAGATTAGAGCACTAATTGCCCCCCAGTCGGGAATCACTTTCCCGCAGACGGTGCCAAACTGTTGGGTCCAGAAGTATTCGCGGTGTTAGAGAAATATATAGATTAACATCTTAGCATTGTACGAAGATCTAACACACAATCAGATAAGTGAGAGGGTGTAGCATTAAAAAGAGACGCCATAGTTTTTATGTGGAAACCTCTAAAAACCGGAAAAAAACCACAAGACCTGTCCCAGTTTAAATGAATCCACTAGTATTTGTAGTCGATTGCAAATGAGGCCCTTCTTAGGGAGAAGGCCTTGGCTCTATGTTACAAATGTATGTCATACAGAGCACATTATATGGTGGGAGTTACAATAATCAACATAGACGTGTTTGTTTGGTTTTAAGGATTGTAGCTGGTAGGCGACATAAGTCTAGAGAACCACAGTCGGCTGGCGATAGAGGTCGGAAGGACTGTAATCGGTGGGCGACGTAAGTCTGGTGGACCGTAGTCGGCGGGCGACGGAGGTCGAAAGGATTGTAGTCGATGGGCGACGTAAGTCTGGAGGATTATTGTCGACAGATGACGGAGTTCGGAAGGACTGTAGTCTGTGGGCAACGTAAGTCTGGATGACTGTAATTGACGAGCAACGAAGGTCGGAAGGACTGTAGTCGGTGGGCGACGTAAGTCTGGAGGATCGTAGTTGGTTGGAGATAGAGGTCGTAAAGTCTATTGCCTGATGACGGAGATCAGAAGGATGGCGTCAGGTAGAAGTCCAATAATGGAAAGAAATTCATCTTCGGATAGATGTCCAGCGAAAGTCAGATAATCGATAGAAGCCCAGCATTAGGTAGAAACTTGGCGATCAGTGAAAGTCTAATGTCGGGTATAAGTCCGACGTCTGTTAGTGGCCGAGGAGAACTCCAGCATCACTTGAGCGGAGTTTCGGTGTCAGGGGGGAACTCTGATGTTACTTGGGAAGAATTTCAGCATCCCGTGGAAGTCGGGCATAATTCTGGCGTCCCGTGGAAGTCGGGCAGAATTCTGGTATCCCGTTGAAGTTAGGCAGAATTCTGGTGTCATTTGGAGTTCGGGCGGAACTCCAGCGGTGGTCGAGGAGGAGTCTCTTCCCTCCTATTCTTGTCTTTTCCTCCTTGCTTCTCCTTCCTTATCTTGCTTGGGCCTCCCTCACAAGAGAAATGAGGGGTCTATTTATAGATTTCTTGGAGTGGCATAGCTTGTAAATAGGCATGAGATCAGGGGCAGATAGGGAGTGGTCGAATGGACGGCTGATATCGAATCCCTTGATTGTGCACCGTTCATCAGGCATTTGAAGGCCTTAGTGCTGTTAAAATTTGGCGATCTTAGGCTCAATGGTTTCGTCTTGTCGAGCCGCTCAATTCGAGTATAAGCTTGTCAAATTTAGAAACTATTTGGTAACTCAAATTGTGGTACGAACTTTCTAACAGCCCTTTGGGTTCTTGATTTGGACGCATTTGAGCTCAGATTGAGTGAAATTTGATTTCGTTGGGTTTTTATTTCCGAGACGATCAATTCGATTGTAAGTTTGCTGAAATCGGAGTTTAGATGATCCCAGATTTAATTTTTGAAGTTTCCAACTTGATTTTTGCGCCGAGATTCGTACCCGATCAAGATAATTTTATGATGACATATCAAGAATAGTTTTAAGATTTACAAGTATATTAATTAATCAAAATAATGAAAATTCATAAAATATAACATTTGCCCCCAAAAAAAATCCAACACAAAATAAGCTAATTTTAAAAGTTTTTTTTATAAAATTTAATATCAGATAATTAAATATACTTTATTTTATAAATCTTCAATTTAATATTAGATTTAATATATTCAATAATATGTACTTGTGAAATTTATTTTAGTAGGTTTAAAAATATTAAAATACAGTGATTTAAAATATTTAAATAAAGAAATTTATATTATTTTAAAAAAATGCAAACTAAATAAGGGATTTATTCAATTTTTATATTTAATTATATTGTTACTTTCTTTACCAATAATAGCAAAGCAATCATGGCATTTAGATTGACACAAATAATTAGTTAAACATAATTTCTTTAAAAATGCAGTATGCGTTGGTATTTTAAAGGAAAATGCTATCACTGTTCGCGTTTTGCTTCAAAATGCAAACAATAATCGCAATTTCTTCAAAAACTCGATTATTGTTAACGAGTATGATCCTTCTTAAATTTTTTTGTTATTAAGAACTTTTTGCTAATACTTTTCTAAATAATGGTTCTTTAAAAAATTTGCCCGATTACTCTAATTTATCTTTCTAATAAATAAAACAATAAAGCATCTTACTATGTTGAATTTTCTTCAAGCGGTTCGTGGATGAATGTTCATCCTTTTGTCCTATTGTTACCAAAAAATAAAAAAATTAAAAATTATGCAACCTCAATTATTTATGTTGGATTTAAAATTATTCATGAGTTATATCTAACTTTACAATCGATAAG